TTGCAGTGCTCTGCTGTTGCCATCACCTGGTAGCAAATGTCCCCATTTGGCCCCCAGTAGAAGACTTGATGCTCTCCCCTTTTACATTTTGTTTATCAGAATACCAGTGGATAAGATCTACCACATACTTCTTCCTTAGTAAGTAGATTTCAAACCTATTTTATTCAAATTTCCACTTTCCTTCAAGTCTTTCATTATTTCCCCTTCAAAATGTGTTCCACAGCCCTGCAACATGCTCAGTTCAGATTAGCAAGTCTCTGATCACTTGAATTGCTTGTTACCTCCTTTTCAAATACAAGTATTACATTTGGGTTGGATTGTGTGGATTTTTTTTTTCCCTCCTGCTACCTTTTCTGATTTGACAGATTCTCACAAAGTCGTTACTGACAGATCTGCAGTTTCATGTGCCCGTTCTCAATAGTATTTTTGAAAAGGGTTTATTTGGGCCCCCGACTCCGTTGCTTTAATTCTCTTCTGTGTTTATCCTTGGATGTACTCACATTTCCATTCAAACATTTCTTGTTAGCCAAGGAAAATATAATCCCATATTGAATATCGTCTTCATTGAACACAGGGGAGAATATTTACCTGGTCTTTATCATAGATATAGATATAGGTAAAGCTGTCCAAAATCTCATCCCAGCACCGTTTTGAGCCAATCTTACATCTTTCTTTATTTTTACTTCTTCTTTCTTATATAGCCGATGAGTTATTTATTACTGTTTCAGTTTCCTATTCATGGTCTAATTCTCTTTTACACTGGAAGTTCCCACTCATTTAATTTTCTGACCTTTAAAGTATAGCTTTCTTTTAGCACAACCCTTTGTCCCACTCCTTCTAAGCTCTCTCCTTGCTGCTAATACTCTTTTTTTAAGACAGTTATTTATCTGTTTAGGCTCGATCTCTATAGTTGGAATAGAGGCCTCAACTTTTTTTGCACTTTGAATATGTCATTTTGAACTAAAACCACTAGGAGGAAGCATTCAACAAGTTTCCTGTCCTGTTGCAGATGTCTGTCTTAATTTTCTGAGAGTTTCAGGCAGGAACCAAGGGGTCTGCTGGGTCACATATCCCCTTGAAAGTGCTGTGACACATAATCCCTTGAAGAAATATATAACTATTCACCTTTCGGTCAGACTGGCTTCTCTGCTCCTCCTGCAAAGCGGACTCCACCCTCTGAAGAACAGAAACCACTTCTAATTTCCAGGGTATTTTTTTCCCTGACTATTCTATTTGTCTTTTAAACATTTCTCTCCCTAGCTCATATTTTCCCACCTCCTTTATTTACTGAGAGTTATGATGCATCCTCTCAGCTGTTATTTCTAGGCTGAACAAAATAAACTTGAATCTCTTTTCATAACATAGATTGTTATTCATTCTAGTATTGCTTCTCTGCACTTGGTCCAGTTTTAATTCACAGCTGCTGAATTGCAAAGGTATCTGGCAAATGAGAGGAAAAAACTTCTCTTTTCTTTCAAGTGCAATACGTGTTCCATGCCATGCAGATCCATTGATTTGCCCGAGAGCTGAGAAACACTGAACTAAATGGTCTGCATAGTCCCATTAATAATGATAGTAGTACCAGTGGTAAAATCAGTCTATCTTATGCTACAGGTCCTGATTTTTGCTGAAGAAAATAGCTTTTTATTGATTAGTTCCATGCAGTCTTTTTTTTTTTTTTTTTTTTAACTCTTTTGACTGGATTGCAAATATTCAAGGCCTTTCCATTACTTTGATTTCCTGTGACAAATGTGTGTGCTTTAGATAGTGAAATCAAGCCCACTACAGAGAAGAGAGGTACGGTTGTTCTGGTATTCTCATGTCTTTTATTGGTATATTTATTACGCTACATCACTATCAAAGAAACAAACAGAAACATCATGTTATTGAGCTGGTGTTTCTCATGGACTGCCAAAGGCAAAAGCTCTCAGCCCTCATGTTTTTGTTGCCTGTTAATAACCTCTTTAAAAATGCAATAATTTGGGTTAAAATTTGTAAGTGATACATAGCTTATGGAGGAGGTAACTGTTAAAGAGACCAGGCTGTTAATGCAATGCTCTCAGAATAGTGGCTAAAAGGGGGCAGGCACATAAAATGTTGTTTAATATGACCAAAAAGGAGAGCAATCTATCTGGAAACAACACTGTCTGCCACACAGCCATCACAAGAAACGAGGAATTTAGTATGGACATAGGTAGGATCCAAAATTAAGAGGTTTCAGAGGAGAACCAGAAGGATTAAAGAACACGGCAAGAGATTTGCCTTCCCCAAAACGATACCACCTTTACTCAGAAGGGCTTCTGCAAAAGGCAAAATTCACCCTAGGGGGTACTTGTCATTTCTTGCACTAATAAACAGCTCATTTAAGGTACCAAATGATCTTTTGCATCTTACCTCCTACACTGGTGAAGCTCTGACTCAGCTTCAGGGTGGCCCTTCCCAGACAGACAGACTTCAGTGAGGCTTGTTTGTAGCTGACTGTCAATAAACTATTCTTACAATCAGAAATACCCCTTCCTGGAACACAAACTGGCAAAAATGAGTTGCACTACCTTTGGGTATGGATGGGTTTAAACACATAATCTCCTGAGAGGATGCGATGTCAGGGCTGTTCGGTGCACACCCAAATCAGTGAGAACAGTGCGTGCAGCTCGCTACTACTCGACGGACCCTGGACATCATGGGAAGCAGATATCAAACAGGCTGGAGCTGGGAAAAACCATCTCACAAGTGCCATGTAGTGAACTCCTGAACTGTGGTGGGTCACAAACTGGGTAAGGGTCTTAAAAATCAGTTTAGCCAACTAAACCCGTTTAGCCAACTAAACCCATTTAACTTTATTACTTATTTTGTAGTTGTTAGTTTTATTTTTTATTGTGAAGGAATAGAGTCCCCTAAGTCCCAATGGCACAGAGCTGGTGACTTCTCTGGTATGACGCAAGTTCCCTGTGCACCTATCTTAAAATCTGAGGAAGCATTAGTCAAAACTAATTAAAGGTGCTACGATGCCAGGAATGGCTAGGAGAAGCTAAGGGAAATACCACAGAGGAAATTAAAAGGTACTATAAATATTATTTATTTGCAATCAGTGTTCAGACAGTATTAACTGAAAAAAAGAGTCTCATTATTAGGTGTAATTTAACATTCATAGTAAAAGAGAATTTCTGTCCAAAAAGCTCACAATCTGAAGAGGTGAAAAAGACAGGAGAAGAAGAAAGCGACACAAGACGGCACATACAACTGCCACCATAGAGAAGGGGTGTTGAAGAAGGCAGGCAACTTGCCGCAGGTTGCAAGCAAGGTGTACTGCAGGTCCCACTCAGTCACAAAACCCGGGTTCCTTTCTGGCTGAAATCAGTGTGGAGGGAAAAGCTCACCTGAGCCTTGCCAGAACCTGCCAAACCCAACAGTGACCACACAGCTACAACCTTGCGACTAAGAAAAATAAAAAGCATCTTACACTAGTTTGTGTGTAACATGTTTGAAGTTTAAATGAGAAATTAAAATGTCAAGGGTAATTTATGACTATGTCTAGTACATGACAAAGGATAACACAACAGTCGTTAGACAGCAAAGTGCATCAGCTGGAAGTATCTCCAAAGTACATGTACAAAGGACAAAAGACTGACTACTGTTTGGGCATGTGTTTTTCTGAGAAGCCCAAGCTGGTAAGGAAATGAAGAAAGATAAAGAACTTAATAAGGAAAATGTGGTCAGGATCATAAGGGACTATGCACACACATACTTTCACGAGAAGAAGAATTTATGATGACATCCTTAGTCTTATGTTAACCCCAGATCCAAATGCTTCAACCCACATTTCCTAATTGTTCATATTACTCGTACTTTGGTTTCTTCTAATCTTTGCAGGAGGGAGAAAACAGGTCCTGCCATCAGAGAAGCACAGACAGAGGCGGAAAGGCTCCTACCACCAATGGGACACATCTACCTTAGGTCAAGGCCTCGTTCCATGGCCATGGATGATGCTCACCACCATGACTAAGGGCAGCTCCGATGGGCCCTATGTGGTGCTCCCCAGCCAGGGTTTCTGACGTCTAAGGGAGTGGTTGAAGTGATGCTGCCAATTTCCACCCAGTGGAAATGTTTGTTTGTGTCTCTCTTCTCTACCACATTGGCAGGAATGAACATGAGCATGAAACTTGAACGTTCTGTGAAGTTTGAGGGAAGTATGTAATAAAAACAATTTGATATGGAGTGACTGATAGACACACAGCACGGCTGCCTTTGCATTGCTGCCAGAGGAAACCAGGTTAAAAAAAATAATCCTCACAGAAAAAATATAAAGCAAGGTTTTACTCAGCTCTGTACAACTTCCGTAATACTGAGTTGTATTTATTATTTGATTAAGCTGCAGTAACACAACTACAATAGCATACATGCCATGACTTATTCTGTAAACCAATCGTAGTGGAAGAAGTCCACTACACTGTGGCATATCTGTGGATCATGCAGTGGCTGTGTTTGTGGTACATCGGTCCCCAAACATAAAAAAAATACCAAAAAGAAAACCAGCAGCCATTTGCTTAACAGGTTTATAATGAGAGTACCAATTAGGAATAGACTAAGGGTAAATTTTAGCTCCTTTCCCTTTGGCAATTCATCTTAACATTGACATTCTTTTTTTGTTCTCTGGTAGATCCGTTGGTGCTTGGGCTTTTCTCTGCTTCTTGCACCGAGGGTAATGTCAGCAGACGTTACCTATCGTTGCTGAGAATACGCCACAGCACTCGGGTACTGCGGGACTCGCTTTGCAGGGGAGTGCCCTTGATCAAACAGATCCAAAACCTGTCTCTGCACATGTAAGTATTGAACAAAGCTGAACATAGCAGAGCCAAAGGCTATGATTTAGCATCTACCACAGTAAAGTGATTGTGATGAACGGACTTTGTTTATTAGGGAGGCTGCCTCAGCTGACATGTGTTTACAATATCAGCTTCTGTGAACATTTTAAAATATTCTTAACAACATTGTAAGATGAGCTATTTAATGTCTGGATATTGTTGATTACCTGTAATTTCTCCATTCTCAACCATGAGATTGCCACTACTGGCTCTTGTGACACTGTCGTATGATGGAGGAAAAGATGCTGAGGACAAAGTTTCAGATTTCTCAGGACTCCTACCATAGTTTTCACCCATCATAGATGCAATAAGTCCTTCTTTCTCTGGAGCAGCATCTCCAACAGTGTCAGTACTGCAAGTTCTGTGATGGTACAGGTAAGAAGCCTGCTTTATGGAGCGCAGGAGCAAATGACTCCTGTAGGCACGCTGGATGACAGTAGCAGAAGCTTCCTCTTGTCTGTGTCTGAGTGTAGTAGAGATTGGCTCGTAGGATTTTTTTGATGGATTGGCAGCCATGAACTTCTCCTCCATTTGTACTTTCAGAGTATCCAGCTCCCCAGAATCTCCTAACACTCGTTTGGTAAAAGCAAACAAGATATCCAAGCAGTGGATCCTGTCTCCACTGACCATAGGCAGGTCCATTGCTATGAGTTCAACTTTGTTTGGTTTTGGTACACGTAAAGGTTCAGCCAGAGCATCTGCAAAGTCTGAAAGCGCAGAGAAAGTTATAAACTGACTTGCCTCAGGATCAAACTTCTCCCAGATTTCATAAAAGATGTCAAAGTCATCTTCCCCTAAAGGCTCTGTACTTTCCTCAGTAGCAGCATTGAAGTTCTCCAGAATAACAGCTATATACATGTTTACAACAATGAGAAATGATATAATGATGTAACTTACGAAATAAATAATACCTATGGCAGGTTTACCACATTCGCCTATAGTACCATTTACATTTGGATCACAGTACGGTGGCCCAGTGTTTAAAATAGGACTGAGAAGACCATCCCAGCCAGCTGACGTGGTGATTTGGAAGAGACAGAGCATGCTGTTAGCAAAGGTTTGGAAGTTGAACATATCGTCAATGCCATCTTCCATCTTCACGTAGGCAAAGTTAGCCATGCCAAAAATAGCATAAATGAACATGACCAGAAAAAGCAAGAGGCCAATGTTGAATAGAGCAGGTAGGGACATCATTAATGCGAAAAGCAGAGTTCGAATTCCTTTGGCAGCCCGGATGAGTCTCAGTATTCGTCCAATCCGAGCCAAGCGAATGACCCTGAAGAGTATAGGTGGTAAGAAATGTTCAAATGCTGTACTGATGCCAGAAAGCAGTAAGGCTAAAACGGAAAGGATAACAACTGGTTAGAATATCGCATTTCTGCTTAACTAGTAAGTAGGATGAAATGATAATATCTGTACAGTTGAAAAATACCTGATGTGTGTGTGCTAAGACCCTAGTAGAGCAACCTTTAACAGAAGGTAGAGTTGAAAAAATAGCTGTAGAAATCAGCAATTATGAACTACATTCTTCATCCACCAGAAGAGAGTACCCGTTGCACTAAGGATCGCAAGCACCTTTCTATGCACAACTTCAAATATCCATATTGATGGTTTTCTTTGACACTGGTTGCATGAATACTTCAGCAAGTGCAGGTTATATATTTACCTTCTAAATTTGACTTCAGATATAGACACTACAAAGTTAAACTAAGAAAACTAGATATAATCATACTGTCACGGTCATCATTTCAGTAATATAGTCAAGATATACATAAGCAAACCAGTGATGAACACAGAAGTTGTGCATGACACTCTACAACGGCTTTTAGTTCATTCAGGGACATAGCTACACATAGATGTTATTTTATCTTTAGTTTGTATGAAAAAATGACAGATCTAGTAGCACTAGAAGAGGTTTGGCTTTTCTAGGTTTAGATGTTTTGGATACATTTTTCTGGATTTCCACTCCAGGAACTTAATTTCTCAAGGAAGAACCATATTCTTACTGGAATCTTACTTACCCAAAACATAAGTCATAGTAAAGAAACAAGTATTTTTCTTCCCCTAAATGCCTTCTGCTATTTTGGCAGTACTGGTCCTAGGAATAGTTAAATTGGCAGAAAGCTCAAATTGGCAGAAGAGCTCTTCACACCATTCTTCCGTTGCAAACCCTTCAACTAAATGCTAATAGATTTGTGTTGTTCCTTTCTATCCTATTACACAGTGTGAACCCTTATTTTCAATCAGCCATGCCTGAATTTCCAGAAACTGTATTCTGTAGTCTATAATCTAACTCCAGTCTTCAGATTGTCTCTGTATTTCAGTTCTCTGTCACAAACACAGATGACAAAACCCAGCAATTTTTATCTGGGTGAAGATTTCTTAGCTGGCACTAAATCTGTAACAATGGAAATTACCACATAGTGTGGTGCTGGTATGATGGGTTATTCATTCTGTATTTCAGACTAGGTAAAAAACAACCTAAAGAACCATTATGAAAGATTTTACATAACACAGCTACCTTTTTTTTTTTTTTTACTACTTATTAAAAGAAAATAGCAGAAATTTTAAAAAATCTTATTTCATATTATTTTAATATAATCATGGTGGGCTTTTTAGTTCTTTTTCCTCAAGACTTTACAGTATTATGATTTCCATTTCAACATCCATTTGCAGTTGATAAATTTTAACAATTTTTTTCTGAAAAGAGTAATAATTGACTCAGTAAAGAATTTTCCAAACCAATTTTACTTACCAACAAGTGACATAATCACAACAACTAAGTCAAATATGTTCCAGGCATTTGAGAAGTAGTACTGCCTCAGAGCCACCAATTTCAGTACACATTCAGTAGTGAAGATGGCAACGAAGAGTATATTGATTTTGTTAAGGATGTTAGTCTTCGTTTCACTTTGCTCATGGGTTTCCACCATCATGGTGATCATGTTAAGGCAGATGAGAATCATGATGACAACGTCAAAGGCTTGGCGTGTTACAATGTCAAAAAGGAACCCTTGGTATCTGTTCTAGAGGGAAAAAGTACATTTGGCATCAGTTATGAAAGCAGGGAGTACTCATCCATACATGTTTCCAACAGCTCCAGTTTTTATGTTGCAAAGTCACTCACCTATAGTGAAGTCAGAGAAATTTAGGAAAAGCAGAAAATAAAAAGGACATTAAAAATCCCTTCCCAGTTTAATCAGTTCCAAGGTGAATGTAAAACCCAATAATATTTATGCAGAGAACTTAATAAATATTTAACCTGTAAAATCTTTCAGTGCAACTTTTTGGCATGCAGTTGACTTTAGAGCACTGTCTGAGTATCAATGTAAAGACAGTATAAATAATTTATATGCAATATATAAACATATGCACTTTTCAGTGAATTAAATTGCACTTTTGCAATGCATTTTCCTTTTGAAGAATTCAGACAGTCTTACCAGTGGTCTTGGAATGGGTTTTTGAGGTTTCTTGGATCCCAACTTTTTCATTGCATTGTAATATTTTTTCTGTTCTTCTGTCATAAAGATATCTTCCCCACCTAAGTATATAAAGAAATGTCACTGTTATTTGGTGAGAAAGCAGCACTGTTTTAGTTAAAAATTCTAAAATGCTGGAAACTAACATTCTTTCTTTCTTCACATCTTGCTGGTACTAGCCCTTCTCAAAACGTGTAATTGTGTCCAAAAAAATAGAGTGGCACAAACCATACGTTCACAGAGCAGAAGTCCTGGGGTGAAACCCAGCTAGCTCAGAAAGCATGAAAACAAAGGATCTACTGAAAACCTGGACAGGAACAAATCTTTCCTTGGCTCATCCTGGTCTTGCTGAATATCCACAATACTCACCAGAGCAACCGTACCAGACCACTTTCTAAATAACGAGTCTCCTGTTGTGCTCAGTTCCCAAAAAGGAGCAAAATTTTAAGCGGCTGCAGAAAAGATGTCATTGCCTTTGAAATGTTGGGAAAGAGCTAGGTGTTCAGGTTATAGGGGAAAAAAAAGGAGGAAGAAACTCACCCTGGGTGTTACATCTGCTAACTTAATTACTAATGCTCTTGTAAATGTCAATAGAAGTTTTTTAGAGTCTATGTATAGCAAGGACCTTGTTCTCCAAAGATAGTATTGCTCGAGAGATAGTAGGTGCCTGGGAGCACAACCAATGTACTTATCTTTTTCTTTTGTTGGTTGAAGTTGTCGATAATAACACCAACAAAGAGATTCAGGGTAAAGAAAGATCCAAAGATGATGAAGTTCACAAAGTAGAGATACATAAATAGGCTGTGCTCCATTTCCGGCTGCTCATTTTTCTGCAAGAATGAGAAGCAACATGAAAATGACCAGTTACAACACAGGTTCAATTTGGAATAATCTTCATACTGTTAATCCTCTCACAAATTGATTCCAGGAAGAACTAAGATTTACAGCCCTACTGCTACTTCTGACAAAATTCATATGGTTTAAAACTACTAATGGTGCATAACACAAAATATTTTATGTATACGACGCCTTTGGAAGGAGCATGAAATGATGGAAGAAAGTAACATTCATATGGTGACTACAGGATGCATGAAAATTCTAGGACTTTGTAGGGACATTATTGCTCAGATGCTGACTGCTATCCCTTTTGAAATTAAACATGAACTTTATGAAATGATTCACCAGGCACAACACTCGAGAGATAACTAACCAGAAAATACAGCTCAAAATAATAGTACTACAACGTGTTTGTACTATGGCAATTCGTTAATTTGATTTTTTTACAATTTTTTTTTTATGTAGTTTCTTGCTAGATCATTGCAGAACAGGATAATTTAATTCATACTGATATATTTGCACTGAAAAACTTGTAGAGTAAAACCTAGTCTTTGACTAATGGTGAATGAGGTTTACTTTTATTCTAAATTTCTTTTTTTTTTACAAAAGCTGATTGTTGTGGGGATTTTTTTCTTTTCAAACCTGACTTGAAATCCTACCATTTGCAACTGATTGGGGGCCTACTAAAGTCAATAGAAACAGTTATTGAATTGGACATTCCTGACGTGATTTTCACAAGCGTTTCAGAAGCATCAGTTCGGCTTCTTCCGATAAGAATAGGAGTTGTAAATTGCTCAGTACTTGAAAAATCAAGCAAACTATTTTGCAGTCAAATTCCAAGCTCTTGCCATTAAAAATCTGGGCTTAGATATGTTTTTTTCTTCTTGGCAAAAAACTTCTTCTGTGGCTATTGTAGATAAAAACAAAACCAGAACAAGAAAAATAGTTTTTCAAATTGAAACACAAACACCCCCATTTTTATCTATGGTTACTTTTAAAATTGATTCCTTTGAAGTCATAAACAATTAAGATATCCTGAAATTCTTTGCCTCCAAAGACATACCACTTTGTTCTGTATAACATTGGATGATACTTCTGATAAGACGGCAAACGCTACTGTCAATGTAAACGGTAGATAAAATAGTACACTGGTGATGGCTGACAGTGTATTTTAAATGGTTGCTTATCCACAATAGCTCAATTCTTGATAAGTCTGGTTTTATGTTTTGAAGTGGACTTTAAACTTTGTCACGGTAAAACATTCATAAAAGATGTGTGAAGGTGGGTGCCTCCATGTGAGTGGGAACTCTGAACTCCCCTGCTAGCTGATGCACATCCAGTTATTAGTAGAGTCAATGTAGTATAAAGAGGTGCTCAGCTGAACAATATAGATACCCAGGGTGAGCTGAAATGCTCCCTAGATCCCTCTGAGCATATTGACTAGATCTCCATTAACCATACAGGGCACTTGGAGATGAACTCACACAGCGACCTTACAGTATAGGTAACTGCATTTAGGTGAGTGGATCTGAAGTTGAATCCCACTTGCTGTTACAACAAATTAGGTTACTATGAGTCATTCATAGATGAAACGTTTACACCAGCTGAAAAAAATAATTACTGGAAAGTTCTAGCACAAGCAGTAGATATAAAAGTGCAAAAATCGTAATGTTTTTCTAGAAAGCGGTAGCATTAGCAAAAAATACAGTTTGAATATAGTGACTGACCTCTCGTGAATCTACTGCCGCATACATGATTTCCATCCAACCTTTAAATGTTGCCTAGAGTGAGAGATTATGGAAAACGTGTTGAACTTTCAGGGTAAAAGTCTTCACATTATTTGCAATATCCAAATGACGCTGACTGGAGTAAGAGCCTTTGGTATGGTCACAAACACATAGCACCAAGCTCTGACGTTAGGGAAACTTGCCCCTGGGGTACGTGTAGGCATTCTCAGCCTTATCAGGACGTGAAAGCTTGCTAGGGTGGGACAGAACATGTTGTCCTAGGATGCTGACAGGAAAAACCTTAACTAGCATGGTCTACCCAAGGCCTTACAAACCTCATGGCTGAAAAAAAAAAATCTGTATTACAGAATATTAGTTCAGTATCTGCCCCAGATTTCCTTCTGAAATTGACTCCAGCTCTCAGTCTCATGAACCTGCTGGTGGCTGAAACAGAACTTGTCCACCAGATGCCTACTTCATCACCTGGGAAATCACAGCAGGATCTAATTTTTCCCCCTATTTCCATTTGTGTGCACGAGCAGCACTGGTGTTTGAACAGCCAGCTAGAAGGGAAAAGCAAGCTGTATGATACCACTCCTCTCCATCACTCCGAGAGATGAGTTAGGAGCTGACAGGAGGTCAAGCCCGTCTGACATGGTGCTGACTAGTGAAGGCAAGCAGCACTTACCACCTGAAGAAGAGCCAGGTAGCCAGAGCCAACATTATCAAAGTTGACTTTAACGTTGACCCAGAATATTTTTCCTGTGTTATTATACATTTTGCAGTCTGTTATGTTATTGATCGAACCATTCAATTCTGAATCTTCTTCTGTCAGATTGACACATTTCCCAAACTTCCCAGCAAAGAGGTTCACTCCCATGATGCTAAAGATGAGCCAGAAGATGAGGCAGACAAGCAGAACGTTCATGATGGAAGGGATGGCTCCCAGGAGGGCATTGACCACCACCTTGAATGAAACGGGAGAGGAAAAATACACTTAAACAAAGATGGGCTCAAGTATTTGCTCAGTGCAATAAGCAGTCACTTAGTCATCTCAGCAAACAGAAACCTAATGTTTTCCATGTCAATACTAGGCACAGCTGGCATGGGTACCTTGAGCAAAGATTCAAAGGTCCATAGTATCTCTTAGGCTTTCAAAGGAATAGTTGATATTTTTGGGGCTGCTGTGAGCCACCACCGCATAAGTATACTACAATATGAGTCCATCCTCTTTTGATGACTTTCCCTTGGTTTTGGAGTGGGGGATGTTTTGTTTGTTTGTTTTAAACTCTTATAACGCAAAATTTCTGAAGTATTCATCCATAAGCACTAGTGCAGAGAATTGTATTATTAAGGCTGTAGAAAGTAGTTTTTAAAAGGATCAGTAATAACTCTCCAGTAGCATTTTGTTAGACCTATGATATTTAGTGGATTATGACTGTGTTTGGGGTCTCTAACCATGAGTTAGGTACTTTTTCTGTGCTAGGTGCTGTATAGTCACAGAAAATGTCCACGTAGGTTTTAAGTGTATGCTAAGACATAACAGGTTGTTTCGTAAAATGGGGCAGTGTAAGGAAATGATGAGAATATATCTTTGAGTTTCACAGTGAAGGTGATGAACTCAGCAGTCAGGTAGCAAAGAACAACCTGATGGACCAGAAGAAAAATGAAAAAGATTTGTGAAGGTTTTTGGAGACCATGTCACACACATTCTGCATAGCAAGACAGAAGATAAGATGGTACCAGTTTAAACATTGACTCTAGACATGGAAATTTTGATACATTCTGTTAATTAATTTAATGCAATTTCTCTCTGCCTTCACAGTAACAAGATTGCAGTCAGAGAGCTTTCAGCATCATTTTCAGAAGATATCCAGAAGCAATCTATATCTCAGCTGCATTGAGGCTGCATTCCCATGTAAAGGTGTGACAGTGAGGCCATATGGATTTCTATCATCCGTTTTTACACGCCAGAGTATATTCCATAGACCAGATTTTTGCCCACATACCACTGTGGTTATCGCACTGTTTCACACTGCAGTGTACAGATGTGTTTTGCATATGGCTGAGGGAATCTTTCTCTGCATTTGCACAAGGGTAGATTTGTAATTAAAAGTAATTAATGTCCAGCAGCTTCACATTGTTCCAGGTGCTCCTTTGGTGGAAAAAGACAGCAAATATTCTATAGACAAACACTTCTGCTTTTTAAAAGAATGGTCTATTTGGAACAATAATTTGAGCAAAGTACCTCTTAATAGTCTAAAGTTTTTGTAAATCAGTTCAGTAAAATCCTGCAAAATGGAGGCGATTCTTTCCTCTGAATTAGCTTGCCATCAGACTTCGAAAATGAGAATTGTGCTCACAGTTCTTATTCTCTATTTTAATTTTGGGTACCTCAGTAAGACAGGAACACAAGAACTGAGCGGCAATGGAACAAAGTTCTGCCTAGTCTAGTTTTAGTTTCAACGGCACTTAGGATCGGTCACTCGCGGAAAGTCCATAAGGAGCAGCCAAGTACAGAAGAGTGCAGCAGCAAAGGTGCCTTTTAAAAATTCATTTTATAGGTCCTAAACTGAACTTGGGGTAGACTTGTGAACTTCATAAACACACAGACATGAGTTACGACCCTGTTACGTGCTCATTAGTACTGTCAGGCTTTAATTTATATTCAATCTTACCCTCATTCCCTCAAATCGTGACAACGCTCTTAAGGGTCTCAGAGCTCGGAGAGTCCTAAGAGATTTCATGGGGCCAAATGAACTGCCTAAGAGGTTTATTAAAGAGACCTGAATGGGAAGACAAAAGAAAGTATTAGCAATGTCCTGATGTCTGTTCTCTTTATTCCTGTTTAAAAAAAAAAAAAAAACCAACAAAAAAACCAAAACTAAATCTCCCCATATTTTCAGTGCCAGGAGTGCAATATCCTGAAACCAACATTAAAGGAGGCAGGAATACTGTCTTCACTTTGCATCCAGAAAATAATCAGTGATTCTACTTCTACATCCTGTGTCAGGACCCACATAGAAACAACGAAGGCAGAACTTACGTCTACAATGAGGAAGTCCAGCCAGCACCAAGCATTGGTGAAATACTTCTTGAAGCCGTAAGCCACCCATTTCAGGAGCATCTCCAGAACAAAGATGAAAGTGAACATTTTGTCAAGAAAAGCCAACATAATTTTAATGCTTCTTCTCTCATTTATATGGATGTCTTCAAATGCCTGAAATCATAATATATATATACATGGCAAAAGTCAGAGATGAGCTTTATAAAATGGAAGTCTAGCATCATTAAGACCCCTTCGTCATTCAACATGTGTTTTACACCGATCTAAACGCCGTCTTTTACTCAAATCTATGCCAGCTGATAGATGTGTAATTCTCCCTGTCCCTTCTCTTTCTTTTTTCTATACAGTACAGCCCTGTGGACACATACATCACGTACACTGGAATGCTAGGAGAAAAGTGTATATTTTCAGAAATTTATTTCAAGAAATTTATACATCGAGGAGAACTAAGTACTTTTTTTTCCCAAGTTTTAAGAGTCATTTATTTGTTTTAATGATATAAAAACTCCTTTATATTTCACAACTGTGAAATAACTTCCTGAGAAAAATCCAGTATACAGCCAGAATAGAAACAGCTGCTGAGATTTATATATTTGTAGTTATGCTCACACTCTCTTATAATTTTTAATAATATGAATAATAATTTGCAATAATTACAATAGTGAATAAATGACTGCTATGTGAAGCCTCTTCTTTTTTCTCCTGATGATTTCAAAGATATTCACTGTATTTGCTGCTAAAAACAACTTCTCTGGGTGCAAATCAGAGCTAAAAATGCTTCTAAATAAATACATGAAACTGTGCTACACTAACCAGGGCTCCGCTGCTCAGAAGAATCATGAATATGATAAAGGATTCAAACCACGAGTGTTCAACAATCTGGTAGCAGGTTTTTCTCAGATTCCACCATGTTTCTCCTCCAAACTTTATGGCACTACCCACATAACAATGAAAGTATCGCACACAACCTGAAAGCGAGAGACAGCAAAGAATGTATGGAAGGAACGTACATGCGTGTGAAGGGTTGTTCAAGAAACTTCTGGGGGCAGGGAAAAGTCAATGGTCACATTAACTGCATCATTGTTGTTTTTCATGTTTTGCCAGGAGAAAAAAAATAGGAAATATCTAATTTTGTTTGCCTTGTAACTCCTGTTTATATACATATAAAGTAGTTGGAGCCACTTTGGACAACTTTCTGTTGTTTCAAGATATTTCTGAGACTCTGAACATACTCTCACTGACCTGCTGTTTGGGCACACAAAACTTCAGGGCCATGGGACAAGTCTTGATATTACAAAAGCCTTTCTCAGTTTCTGCACACTATTTGGAAAGCAGAGATGAGATACCCAGGAACACAAAGGCTTGGCGATAGAGAAGGTAAACAGTTGCCTTCAATATTGCAGCATTATACCATGCCTTGCAAGGTCTATTCGTTTATTTATTTGCTTCTGAATGTATGGAATGGCTGGGTTTGTATCATATAACCTGCAAGAATATGCCATATTCTAGCTGACACATAGGCTCTATAAAAGGAGACATCTCCTTTCAAGGTCACCAGATTACTTCTTATAAGTGACAATGACACCAGGGCCACCTAACATTTCCTGACCACCCCATTACAAAATCCTGCGTTGGATTACTTATTAATTTTGCCAAGAATTAACTTGCTTTGGCTGTCATTTTCCTTGCTGTGTGCTCTGTTAATTCATGTTTTCATTATGGCAAAAAAAGTCACTCAGAAGGCTTCTGTCATTTGCAAGCATGGAAAAAATAATGCATATATGTGTCTCATATATATTATTACCTCACACACATATAGTATCGTACAAACAGCTCATATATATATGATAGGATATAACATATGTAAAAAACTTCTGATCATTCTTTCAATAATCCCAGTTGCCCCACTAATGCGGATCTGGGATGTGAGATGGGGCAGGGAATGGCACTTGCACAAGATATGGACTTTTTTTGTGTGCAGAAAACTGTGTCAGGTACAGATTTGCTGCATCTTCAGTTGAGATCTATAACAGTTTGGCCACAGCAGGCACACTCCAGCCTGGGACTACAGAGCACAAAACAAGACATTTCACATTTCTTCTCTGGGGCAGGGAAAGAAAACAAACAAACCAACCTACCTTTATTTCTTTTGTTCTTAGAGCTATGCTGGCAAAAAATGCCATCAATAAAGTAGTTTTGAAAAAAATGCTGTAGCTCAGAAAACTGACATCTGTATTAAGGCAATATTTGTGGTTTTTTTCTGGAGAAAGCAAACTGCAATGTAAGTATGGTGGATCTCTCTCAGGATTTATGACATATAACATGATATTAAAAATATACATATTATTACTACAGAGAATACTTTGCATTCAGGTACATCATCTCTCTAGCTTCAAATAATTGTGACATGGTTCACTGTTATTGATTCAATCCAAAAACTGTGCATTAGAAGTCACATTGACCCAAAAAGGGTACAGGAAAGGAAAAAGAGGAAGAAAAAAAGAAAAAAGGCCAGCTCTGCAGAACAGGGCAAAGAGGGGATGGGAGTAATTACAGCCAGATTTGATTTATCCGTGTTCTCATCAGATAAAACATCCAGGAAGCAGTGCTTGAATGGGAAAGCAGTGATGAGAGAAAGGCTCTGCCTTTGGGAGCGGAGGAGGAAAGCAAGCTCTGAGAGCTGCTGGACCTGCTGCTGGGCTCCACGTAAGCAAGGCTGGAGAAGTCCCTCCTGATCATTTTGTGGTACAGGGAAGCTTGAATAGGCAGAAAACAACAGAATCAAAGAAAACTTGGGTGGATGGGTGGAAATGGTGGTGGTTAGCCAGGCTGACTGCATGAGCAAAGAGCAAGTTGGAGCATCAGGAAGAATTTTGCCACAGTTCTAATTCATTTAATATAACACACTTGGAAGAAATAAACCTACAAACTGACTTGTTATAGTCTACTCTCTCGCAACTAATACTGAGAGTGTAGTGATTACCCCTGGCCTTCAGTAGTAACAGTTATTGGGGAAAAAAATCTCAAGAGCTCTTTCTTTGCATCTTATGAAAACCACATGTTGTTACACGTGTTAGGGTAGGAATAATTCATAAAAGTACTGGACACATCCCGTAACAACTTGTAAAGCTAGATGTTGTAGGATGATTTGAGAAGGGATTCCCAGATTATCATCCTATAGAAATTCCACTTCAGCCTAGCAGCTTCTCTCTGCTTATTTCACTCCTTTCTTTGTTACAGAGATTGCTCATGAAATGCTGTTCAAGGAACATTTATACTGTTGCAAAGTATTAACAAATCTGATGTGCCAAGTGCCTTGTTCCAGTGGCCATCGTCAGGTGAGACCTGATCACATACACTTCTCTTATGTTAAACCCCAAAAGCAACTTGGATGCTGTCCAATAGAGTGAAATTCATCTCACCACTATAACAACCTCATTTTTGGGGATCGGATCTATGCCACTGCCCAGGTCCCACTTAGAAGCAATTGGCTTTAAGGGGAAGGGTGTCTATTCTTCAGGTGTCACAATCTCTCTGTTGACTAGAGAGGGACAATGATTTGGACTATTTATCCCATTTCCAGATCACTAAAATTAACTGAAAGTAATCTGTCCCTATTGACTCAGCATCACCAGAGAAACAAGTTGGGTTTTAACTCTTCTCACTTCCCAGCTGTGAAACAATGAGAGCTCTACCTTCTGGAAAACATTTTTCTGGAGTCTTGAAGTCTTCAGCAAACTCTGGAATCTGCCTCAAAAAATCTTCAGGATTTGTCAGATCCACCGTGCTGCCTTCAGAAGAGCTGACACTGTCAAACTACCGAGCAAAATAAGATCAGGTATCGATTCTGTCTACATTCAGCTCCAAATGAATAAATTGATCCATGAATAAATAAAATTCAAAATTAAAATTTGGCTGTGTACTAATATTTCAAGTGGTGTTGGTAATGGAACAAACTTTGTAAATTTAAAAGTATATGAGCTTAGAAGTACTAATAGGTGCATCCAAGTAGGGGCCAAAGCTATATAAATACAATATCTATGTGAACCAAACGTAACTGCCTAATAAGCTGGTAAATTGAAGAGCTTTTAAATTACTTGTAAGTATATGCAGTACTCAAAGTGGTATAAACTGCTTGGGTTAAAACCATAGAAAGATGCATTCAAACAGGAGAACCAGGTAAGTATATCTGGTATTTTATCAGGAACTGAACACCCATGACAGTATTTGCAAAGCAGAAATTGGAATCATATCATATATTCTCCGTTTACAAAGCTTTTTGTTATCCCATTAACCATATACAATGTCTGATGAGTCACCAGTTTGTTACAAATTACTTACTCTATGCTTTTGTTCTTTTATGTTTGTGTCTTGTTGTTCGTTACTTTTTTTAATGTATTCTTTATTCAAAATTATTCTAAAAATATTTTTAATTACTAACCACTATCTTTAATGTCATAGCGAGAAACTCTTTTAAAGTATTAAGTTTCTTGAAACTGAGATATGTAGGACACAGGGAGACTTGCTGGAATTTCCCACTTGGAAGCATATCTCTTAATGCCTTTATTTTTCTCCTCCTCTCCTTTTTTTCTGGGCTCAGATTTCAATAAGTGGGAAGCGGCAGAGAATTTTATAAATTATTTATTTGAATAAAATTATTTTGTAGATTTTCCATTTCAAAACACTCTTATACATACATTTTTCTTAAAAATCAATACCTAGAAGCCCAGCATGACTTTGATTTCTTTTGCAGAATTCCAGCTCCCTCATTAACCCGCCAGACTGGCTACTGCAAGCTCAGAGCCACTGCTGCCGCTAAACTCCACTCCAGCAAACCCTTGAACAGAAACGTACCTGTGCTTGACCAGTATTGGAAAGTCATTGCCATAGAAAAAAACCTGTTACCTCTTTTTGTTCTGGCGATGATGGTTCAACCTTCCTATCCTTTCCTAGGTAAAGCACACTGAATTCTTCAGAGGAGAATCCCGATCCTTTACTCCAGCTGCCTGAATTTTTCCCTCTTTCTCCCCTTTGCCTCAGGTGATTTTCATCCTGAAAAGAATCTGCAGATTAGAGGATGTTTCTTTTCCCTTTTTAGGGGGTGGACAAGTTGGAAAGGAACGATAGATAAGATGTGCATTTCATTTAAAGTGGGACTCTCCAGAAAAAAGTCCTAAGATATGATCATTTTGAGTCTCTGATTTTACCTAAGAACAGAGAAAGGGAATTTTTTCCCAACCGACTTGCAGCAAACTAAGGAATTTTTGTGAGCTAGTCAAAAGCTAATTAAGAATTTTTGCATAGGAATTAAGACAGAAACTTAAGGTGAGAAATCTTGCGACCAGAACAGCAATCTTCTATGGTTAAAATAGAACTGAAAAATTCAGAGAACACAAAGAAATAGGATAATATATGCTATCATATAAGAAACATGACCTTAAGAGAGCCACTCCATACTTAATCCTTCTAAATTCTGCACTTTATTACTATATACTACACACAGCAAGGACAAATCAAAGAATGGACTGGAACTATAAATTCATATTATGAGTCCATGATAATGTTCTTTATGCAGAACATACATTTTTGCTCTGTTATATAAATAACGCCAAAATAGTTGGCATTATTCGCATAAACTTTTACATAAAATTTCCAAGTTCACTAAGGACTGCCAATTACCTATGGACAACCTATGGACTATGGAATTACCTGTAACACAACTCAGCAGCTAGGAATTCCTACAGCAAACCCAACAATTTATGGTCTTTCTTTTAAGACCATGAAAGAATCTTGATTTTAAAAGGCTCCAAGTGGTAACTTACTCTCACTCTAAACATCTGTACCAAAATTTGGTAACTCTCTGGAAATGGATCAACATATGCCACCCTGCTCTGCTACAGACACTCTTCTACCATACATGCATCCCTCAATATATATATATGATTCTACTGTTCCAACACAAATAAAAAAATTCTTTACCTGTTTGTTGTAGTCTATGTCTGTAAATGTGCTCAGTTTATCATCATCTTCAAACCCCTCACTTGTATTCTCTGCCTCAGCAATAGGGACACAAACAAATACATTAGGATTTGTAATAAAATCTTCAAGACCCGAGCATCTGTCCCCATTTCTCTCAGCCCATTCGTTATTGTAATTCTCTTTACGATTTTTTATCTCTTCACACTTGAGCCCAAGGGGGTTCTGTGCAGTCAATTTGATTTTCTTCCTGTGCGCTTTCTTTATATGCCTGAACTTTTCACAACAGGTATCCCACATAACACTCTTCACAAAGTGAAACCCCTTGTGAATCCGAGCAAAGGCGATCCGAAGATTGTTCATTTCTCCATCATCCTCTGCTGTCTGGAGACATTCGGTACTGAAGGAATTCAACAGGAGCGCAATGAAAAGGTTGAGAACCTGAAAGTCAGTGAAATAACAATAAAATTAAAAGCCAGGAGAGTAGCATTCAGATATCTAAATTCTAACTTTGAGGAACATAGATACTATCAAAGTTCAGTCTTACTGAGCAAAGCAAAACAAGCTAATAATGAAATGGCTATGACTGATCATAACGTGGTTGATGAAGTAAACTTCTCTCTCAGAAAGTTCAATGTTCCCATGACCCTCTTCCCCCCAAAAGTTTTTTAAAATAGTAGCTAAAACAGATCTGTGCCTGCCAAATGCATTATTTGGCCAAAACAACTTTTAAAAAGTTATCGTAGTAACAAAGACCATGGTCATGGCTTGTCAGTTTAATAATATCTCTTCCTTCTTCAAACTAGAATTAAATCAGGCTTCTGTGGAGCTGCTTCCAAAATCCTGTGAGATCAGATTCAGGCCCAGCAATTCCATCAAAACTGCAACACTGCCACAAAAAATCAAAATCAAGAGAAGCTCAAAGTTTGGTTTCCTCCCTGCTTTTGAGTACATTTAAATAGAAGAATTCATAAACTTTTTTTTGTTTTGCTTTGTTTTTTAAGGGAATGGGAGAATTTAATTTTTTTCCTAATGTTTCCGTTTGGGATGGGATCTATGAATCTTAATTTTTATCATGTTAGAACTGGGCAGATAGCACCCATGAGTCATCCAGGGACCACAGTCAGCAGACAACATTAGCCCTTCAGAGACCATTTCATCCCATCTGTCTTAGTTACTGACATTAAGTTGGAATAAATCTCACTCTCAGAAACCTCTCTGTTTCCTTTGATAATAAGAAAGCCTAGACAAGGAACATAGGCTAAGCACTTAATTGTTTGACAGTATAACATTATGTGATATGAATATCACTCACAACATTTCATCACCGAAATCAATCATTGCAGTGTAGAACAGGTGGGACGTTAAACCCAGGGATTTGGGATTCAGCCACAGAACAGATATTTCCCATAAAGGACTGCCTAAACCTAGTGCTTTTCAGTGGTTTCTTAAATTAAAATTGGTGTATTAATGATACTGAGAATGACATAAGAAACAAAGCTACTAAAAAAGAGGTTTTTATGATTTGGGCATTAAGAAAGGACAGGAGAGGACCAGGAAGGCAGCCTCTCCCTTACACCCCGGCACTGGTGTGTGAGGCTGTGTCGGGTATGCCATAGCAGGATCTAGCTCTTGGGTGTAAACGTACGTAAAGATGATTAAAGAAAATCCTTATTCAGTCACAGAAGTGTAGATTCTGCCATTTGCTGATAAAGAATTCAATCCTTGAATGAGATCTTAAAAACCCCCCAAACCTAAAATTGACTTACAGAGGGACTTAAGCGCTTAGCTCCATTAATTCAGGCAGGTGAGCCATAAGCCTTACTGATTATTTACATCCAAATCCCAAGACGTGAAGAAACATAGTTGCCTGTATTGTATTTACTGCAAAGATATTCCTCGTCACATTGCCACATAAAAAGGTCAAGTGATGCTGCGTGCAAAGCACACAAAATGTGAAAATATGGGCAGCCACTCGAAGGTGAAAGGCAAAAGAGGGTTTTTGCAGCCGATAACACACACAGGTAACTTTTCCACCTGTGTTTAGGGAAACTACCTTTTGTTGACAAAGTGGCAATTAAGTAGATTCTACCATAGACAGAACGAAGAGAGGAAAATATAGAAAAACTCACCACTAAATTTCCTATCACCATGACCAACAGAAAGACAAGAAGGCACAGCGGCTGTTCAGCAACCACCATGCAGTCCCACATGGTCTCAATCCATTCTCCACACAGAATTCGGAAAACGACGAGGAATGAGTGGAAAAAGTCCATCATGTGCCAGCGTGGCTGGCCATTTTTGTTTATTTTATGGCTGTTCTCCCCATAGCTTCTCCCAAAAAGTTGCATCCCTACTATAGCAAAAATGAAAACGATGATTGCCAGGACGAGGGTCAGATTACTCAGTGCTCCCAGGGAATTACCAATTATTTTAATTAGAGTGTTTAAAGTTGGCCAGGACTTTGCCAGTTTGAAGACCCTCAGCTGTGTAGAAACATAAAACATAGTGTTAGACGCCAGTAGAGATAACCCATTTTTGAACCGTTCAAATCCTGCAAAAAACATGACAGGTATTCTGAACTATTCCAGCAATGTAATATTTGTAGCACTGTGACACTAATACTTTTTTTAAAGTATTTATAGATTTTTTTTTTTTAATTTTTTTTTTTTTTTTAACTGGGCAGCATTGCAAACATAAACTAACTGCCTTGTAAAGGACCAGGCTATCTTGAGTCCCCCGTAAGTGTTTGGGCTACACAGGCAGGTATCCATAGAATGCACTTGATGTAGATTAGGGTGCCTAACTTAGATGTAACACAAAGGACCAAAATTGGAAGACTGGCTGCTATATTACTATAAAAACCATCTATCTTTTGGTAAAGCAACCTAAATCAGTCCACGGTGTATGGTATGAATACCTTAACATAATTTCACATCTATTTTTAAGTATTGGTTTTTCTGCATTTGCACTCTGACACTTTTTTCCTAAGTTTCCTGTACTAGTTTTTAATTTTTGACACCAATTTTATAACATGTCTACTCTTGAATATTTTTTCCTCTGAATACTTCTCAGTATACTCAAAATAAATGTATACGTCATTAAACTCTGACTTCACAAGGAGTTTAAGAGTGTTTTTCATATTCCTAGTGCCAAGAAAAATAAAACAAAACAAAATGAACACATTTCCTGCATCCTAACTGCAGACAACAGAATTATTATCTATCATACTCACAACATGAAGTTTTATACAACTGAGTAAACATGAGGCATTACCAGTCTGAAGGATCGTAAAACTGACAGGACTCCTCCTTTTCGCCTTTCTTTCTTGCCCTTGTGTTTGGGTAAACTCAGTTCAATTAAACTCAATGTGACAATTACACTGTCAAAAATATTCCAGTGCTGCTGAAAATAATAATAGGGATCTAGAGCAATGATTTTTAAGATCATTTCTGCAGTGAAGATTCCTGTAAAAACCTGTGACAGAGAAACAGTATCATGAGCCTAAAAGTAACCATGAATTTATCTCCTCTTTAGATCAAGTTCCCACAAATAACATTCATAGACAGGTCAAGAAAACTCATTTTTGTGAACTTCTAATGCACTTTCAATTAAAATAGGAGTATTGTTTTCTGCCTTCTCAGGAGTATGTCAGAAGTGTATCAATAAAATCTGGGAATAGTCTGTATTAGAAAATTAGAGTTTATAAATGCAGAGTTTGCTATCTTTAATTTTTACAGTTACTCTTTATGTCTCAAGTGAAAACACTCATCAATCAATCCTTGGTATAAAACGTCACATAGCTGAGATTTTGCTTACCAAGTTGCCTACATTAAGCATCGATTTAAAATTCTGTGACATATTATTGTGCTCCAGTGCCATGAACAAAGTGTTCATCACAATGCAAACAGTGATGGTGAGATCAATAAAAGGATCTTTTATGAAAGCAGCCACTTTTTTCTTGATTCTCAACCAAAGCGGAGAACAATCCCAAATGAGATATTTTAAAGCAAAATCATTCAGGCATGGCGGGCATCTCCGCTGAGATTCTTCAAGTTCTAAATGCAAAAGAAAACCCCACTATAATTAAATAGTTATCACTGAGCAAGGTAGCGAAATAACAACTTCAGGCATTCAAAAGACCAGAGAAGAAAAAGGAAACCTCACATCTCGCACGGAGCCCCAAAGCTTTCCTGCACTTTCTACCATTCCTGTAGTCCCTACATCAGGTCGTAACACGCAGATAAAATTCAGAGAAAACCGCATTCAAAAGTCATTCATGTGAACTTACTTCCAAAGCCTTTAGATCAGGTTTTATTTAGACTCAGACTTGTACTACAACAATTTGACTAAATACAGATGTTTATGACGCAGAGGCCACACCGTGGCCTCTCACAGTCTTGTAGTTCAACGTAGCAGCTAAGGCACCTTCCACCTTATCCTTACGTCGATGTCCAGGACGCTGGCTGTATCACACCCAACATCTTTTTGTCTACTTTGACTCTAAAGGGAGTCTACAGAGTCAATGGCAGCCACAGGAATTCTGACTGTAGGTGAGACAAATCCAAACTACCGTGCCTGAAATTTGGCCTTAGGCCACTTCTACTGGGAAGGTCGTGCCTACCCTTTCCCATCTGATGCAAGTTGCCACACCTCTCCATTTTTTTTTTAAGTAAAACATGGGATAGGAGTTGTTCTGGCTTTGTCATTTACATCCTTTTGGTCAAATATAAATCTCATAGCCTTTCTTTCTTCACCATCAATACTAATGAGTCTTCCAAAATACTTTTGACCCTGCTGAAGTCCTGTGCAAATTCATTGACAAACTGGAGCTTACTTAAAGGTAAATACAAGCACAGTAGGAATTAGTAATCCATTTTTCAGGGATGTGAAAATTTTTCAGACATCAGATCAGCTGGATCTGACTCCTATCCTTTTCTTAGTTGGACCTGTCCTTATTTCTTCCCGCTGTTTAGTCTTCATTTCTTCTTCTCCAGGCTCAAGTGTCAGATTCCACCCTACACTGCTTATTCCCATGGGATCACCTTGACTCAACCCCACTCCAGGTGTAGCTCGTCTTCTGTTCTTCTAGATCAAATGGCTTCTTGTTTATGTATACAGTGTGGATCCAGCAAAGACCATTTCTACTCCCCTTTCCAATGTCTGTTCTCAGGTTAATCCACAGCCACTTGGAGCTACAAGTCCTGTTCCATCCCAGTTCACAGCTGAAAGTGTGCAGCAAACCCCAGATCTTTGGTGAATTACACTGCAAAGCAAGGCTCCACTGGATGCATTGCAACTGTGGTTCTCCCAAGAAAAATTTTAAAAAAATCTAAGAAAAGGGACCTCCCTGCCACAATGGTACCCTCTTGCTACAGCCCATACTTGTGGTCCAAGAACTGGTGATAGAGGTCCTCGACAGGGACAAAAAAAAAAAAAAAAAAAAAAAAAAACAACCCAAACACAAAAAAACCCAACAACAACAAAACCCAAACAAAACAAGACTTCCCCATCCTGAACAACCTGGGCTGAATTTTTTCAGTAAGATCTGCAACAAAATTGTCCATCATCAAAATAACTGTCAGTGATAAAACCCCCTAAAAAATTCACATGGAAAGGTAAGTTAAAGGAATAAAATAGTGAGGTTAAGTATTCAAAACCCAGGAATTACCAAAACTGATTTTACATGCATAATTTTATTGTTAGATTCCGCATGCCTATGTCTCTGCCAGTGACATATCGCAAGTCACAGGGTCAGGAGAAGAAAACAGTACCCCAGTCCTGCACCTCAGATGCTAGAGAAACTCCTTCCACCCACTTTCACTCCAGTCCCCTTCACTGTCTGTCCTACAAAACGAGATCTTACAATAGGCAAAGGATGCATTCCAGTGCATAACGACTCTCTGAAAATGCATTTTTTAAAAAAAAAAATATTAACAATGAAATTCCTAACTACACAATATACAAATCTCTCTTAACCTTTATGAAATGTATTGACATTTTGGTCTTTCATGCTAGCATTACCTTAGGATTGAAATAAGCATAATGAGGAACCACTTACCCTCCAAGACACTGGTAATTATACTGACTGCACTTGCTGCCCTTTGTCTCTGAAGTGCCTCGTTAAAATACTCCACCGACAGATGAGGAGGCGAATGCATCATGCCGCTCTCATCATTTACAGCTGGCTCCTTAAAGAAGTAAACATGATTAGGGTGATACCACAGGAATGAAATGAAGTAGGATGTGATGATGACTAACTGTGAAAGTTAATAGGAACAAGGACATGCAGCCATATGAATGTACCTTTTTACAAGATGTAATAGATGTTGAAAACAAAGGTCCTACTCTTCAGTAATAATGCTGCGGTAAATGGCTCCTGCAAGCATGTAATATCTACAGGGCAAGCACAAACCTTGGAAATAAGTGTATGAGGGGAAATAGGCCTAGGAAATATTCCAGAGTAACGGAAAAGAAGAGAGATGAGGGATAAACTCATAGAGAAGCATCTCCACCCACTTGGGGAACTTACAGACAAAGGTTCTGCATGATGCTAAAGGTGCTACGAAGGAGGAAGAAATTACAGGTGCTGTTCAAAATGACCCCCCTGGACAGAGTATGGGATAAAAAGACTGTTTGGTGACTTGTAATTCCAGCACTAGGAACCTTCAAAACTATGTTAGTACAAATTGTGAATGGCAGAAAAATAGGTTTTATAACAGGAATGCTGAGGTCTAGTTTTCAGGAATTCATCGGTGTTAAAAACCACTTTCCACTGACAACTTACAAACTCCCCACATCAGTCAACTTCATTTCACATCACTGTTTGCCATTACACTGAAACTTTTAAGACAAGAAATACCTGCCATTTGTAGACAAGCCGTAATATGAAATATATATTTAAAATAATATCTTTTCCTTACCAGATCCCCCTTCCCCGTGTCTTCCATTACCGGTGGGAGCATTCCTCCTTCGGAAGACACTGGATCTAGACTGTGCACCCTGCTGCTTCCTCCTCCCGCCACCGAAATCACGCCATTGCAGTCGTCCACGTTAGCCCACTTGCTGCTCTGCACGCAGTTCGGGGTAGCGGGGTGAGAGCTGTGGCTCATTTGACTTTGCACGCTGGAACGTCTTCCCATCTGCGTGACCGACAGTGGCCGACACTGAATTTCATGTTCCCCGGCACTGTGGGTTTCCTCATCACCAAAATCTGTTCTGGAATCAACTTCTAAAGCAGGTATTTGGAAATTGAACACACTCCCATGGCTAAGTCTGCGTTTCGCCTGGTTTGCGTTGGGACCGTACATCAGGCCAAGGAAAGACTACAAGACCAGGAAAAGGAATAAAGAGAGAATGACATAATATCATAAAGAAAATCTGGGGAAGGAATAAATGTTTATAGAGTTTCACAACATTTCCTATCAACCATTGCAAGTCCAAAACTCTTACCCGATTTAGATTTTTCAGGAAGGATTATGCTTAGATTTTAAAAGGCAGATAATAAAATCCTATCAGCTGTAGGAGCTATTTTTGTGATAAGCTTTATATTTATATTTTAAGCAAGAAATTTTAAACAGAGAACGATGGCACAAAATTTAAATTCTGATAGTCATTCACTTTTTTCTGTTTCTTATTGTTACAGAAAATGTAACCGTTATAACTTTCCTTCCATCCTTCATTTATAGTATTTCCTTTTCAAATTAATCTTTACATACAAGTCTTCCTTATCCCAAAAGATTGTTTATTTTAAAGACTTAAGAGTGATCAGTGTTTGTAATGGGATTTGGTTTGTGCTTTCAAGCAATTTATTTTAGTATTAAAATTGGAAAAGCTGTAAGGATCTCAGATTCAGACAATAGATTACCAACTTTCGTTGACTGTCTGTGGACTGTGACTTGGGGAATTGTTCTTCTTCATTATCCTCTATGCCCAAGGACTTATTTCTCTTTTTCCTATTGCTTCTTTCTTTGATTTCTTTGGGAGACAAAGAGGCTTCAAAGGAGCTAATTGACAGGATATCAATTCCTTTAATAGCCAATGACTGAAATGAAAACAAAAACATGGATGATATTTTTGCTGGGTACTTTGAACATAAGCAGAAAGAAAACACTTCTGTGCTCTATATTATTTCCTCTTAACAATTTGTGTTTCACAAAACTCATTAAAAATCTTCCAATATGTGATAACACTAAAAGAAAGAGGAGAGAATTTCCCCAACATATGGAGCGCTGAACAATTTGCTATTTGCACTATGTTACATGATCGCATGTATTGGGCCTGCCAGGGGCAAAATAATCACATTATAGCTCCTATTCCTCCATATGGCAGATTTGCTTACAATAAAAATACTCAGTTCAAATATAATGCTGTAGAATACATCCTTTTCCAAAATAAATGCTCAAACAGTATTAAAAATCTGTCATTTTGTTGGGGATCCTTGGGACCGTATTCATACTGTGGCTGACTTTCCTTCCCATACTGAATTTAGGACAATGTTTTCAAAACACAGGAGTATTTGTCCCAGAAGCTTCTAAGCCATTTAAGTTACCAAGAGACTTTCATTCAACTACAATAGGTTTTGTCTCAGATGTTAGTGTGGTTGATCAAAGGAATTACTGTATATTTCTCTGCTCAGCAGCCCAGAATGATAAAATAGAAAAAAAAAATTAAAAAACAACTACATTTTCTTTTGGAAGCTGCTAGTTGATGGAATTTTACATTTTCCAGATTTTAAAATACTGTTTTTCTTACAGTAACAGCAGCCTTTAATGGTCACTATCCACAATAAAATTCATTGTTTCACAGGAAAAATGCAATGCTGAACAAGGAATTGCTCCTGTAGCTCTAGGAATCACTACCAGTAAGTTCTCACTTGCTCCTGTTCCCATGAGTGACCACTATATATAGCTGTACACAAGGAGTGATGCTTTTTCTTATGTGCCTGACAACAGAACACTGAGGCGAATGCTTGCAAGCGAATAATTTATGTACCTCCTGCTCCTTCTGTAATAATTCCAAGGCTTCCCGAAATTTCCTTTCCTTTGCCTCCGTTTCAGCAATGGTGGCCTTGTTCTGGTCTTCGTATGCCATTGTTACTACAGCCAGAATCAAGTTGACTAGATAAAATGAGCCCAGAAAGATGACCAGCATGAAGAAGAGTATATACACCTTCCCAGAAGCTCTGAGGGTCTGTAAGCAACACACCCCAGAGATAAAAATTACCATAAAACATACCAAATAGGCTTTCAATGCATCTCTGAAATCCTTTAGAAGCACTCAGCTTCCTAGACACAACGCTTTAGGAAGCTTAGATGGAAATACACCTTCCTTGGCCCTTCTTCCCCCTCTTTCTCCCTCTTCCTATACCGTCCCGTGTGAATCACTGATCGTATAGCCCACGAGGATGACTGAGGAGGCATTGTTACATTTCTGAAGAACAATACAGGACCTTTTTTAAGTCCCTAAACCAGCAGGGTGATAGGGCTATTGCTGGGCAAGACTTCAGCATCCCTTTTCTAGGGGTCACAGCTTGCGGGAAGGGAAGATGTGGGCTTGATGACTTACAGCTATCGCTTTTATTTGAGGTTTCTTGTTCTCTCTGCACATTTTCTGCTTTGGCTATTGCTTTCCCTGGAAGACCAGTTCTGAATTATGCACGAAGCTGGTACCTGCTGGTACAGACGCTCCCAGTAGTCCTGGGTCATCAGGCGGAATAAGGAAAGAAAAGCCCAGCCAAACGTATCAAAACTAGTGAAACCGTAATCAGGATTTTCCCCAATTTTCAAGCATATATAGTCTGGAGGACAGGTCCTAGAAGTAATAGTAAAAAGTAGAGCTCTTTTAACTGTGCAGTTTTCAAGGAAAATTTCAGCTTATGTGAGAGTTCTGATTATTGTTCAGCTCTGCATTTCATTAGATTGCAAACCAGTTTTCTACTCCAGGTAGCATTGGCTGGAAAGTGGGATGGAAAAAGCAGCACCCACAACCCAGCAACAAAGGAAGAAGACAGACTGGAGTAGACCAGCAACACAGGACAACTCCCTCATCACCAATCCTCATCCCCTGCCCCTCACTGCAAAGCAGCCACATCTCCCTCCTTGCCCAAGCCTGCCCTCCAAAATCCATGTTGTGTTTTTCCAGTTTAACACTCACGAGCCTTCACAGAGAGGAACGTGTCTGTCCTGTGCTACATTTGAGATCATTCCTGGTTTTGGTTCTCTTGTACATCCGTGGGGAAGAGAAAGACAGCACTTGAAAGGCTCAAAGGAATTTAGCCCTGAATAAGCCAACTGCAGGTTCATGCTTCATTCCCTCCAAGTATTAAATTATCCGTTTACTAGATTTTGTTGTCTGTGTTCCTGTTTCTGCATTCAAGGAAAGCTTGGAATTTCTGCTTTTGTCTCTCATAACTGAGTGAATATAGAAGCAGTGAAGCAGAGAAAACTTCCAAAGAAGAAATATTCTTAAGTGCACTTACCCAGCACCAGCACCACATAGCAAAATATCTGAGGTGCCCTCTTTCTTAGCAAAGTTTTCTATAAAAAAAGGGAAAAAAAATTAAAACCAGAGAACTTTCTAGCCTGAATCCTCTATCCTTTAATATGAGTAGTGATGAGTAATCAGTGACCTGGAAGTGTATATGCCCACCCATAGACAGATTTCCCACGCTCACAGTAACTGCGCCAGTTTGCAAGATGTCCTGTCCTCATATATAAACATACAAAGGTATATGCACAAATTTCAGACTGAAGGCAATCCTTAAAACAGAATTTTAAAAAATATTTTGGCCACATCTGCATAAAGGAAATGAAGAATTGGAGGGCACAGGGCCTGGTTTTGTAAATTTTAGCACAAACTCTGGCACAGTTTTGGCCCATAGCAATTAGTCCTCTCCAGGACGGTACAAACATCATTTGGGTTAGCATAGACCAGTTCTGTTTCCAATGAGCAATAAAAAACAAAGCCCTGTTTTGAGGAGGAAGGAAGAGTATTTGGTTGTGTGGATATAGACCATACCGTGTCACTGCTCTGCTGAGCCAAACAGCAGGTCCTAACCCTGCTTAGTTGAGAAATACAGATTTCTCCATGAGGATGCTGGAGCTGTGCCCTTTTGGCCTCTTCCCCTATTTCTTTTAGCATGAGTTACTCCAATGCCTGTGCTAGCAGCAGACTGAAAGTAATAGCTTTCGTGCTAATAGCTAATTAGCCCCATTAAGACGTGGTTTATTATCCCAGATGCAAGGGAGGTCTCATATCTTCCTGGTGCTTCTCAGACCTTAGCTGTGCTCAACAGGTAAGCCAGCATGATTCAGACCCAGCAGGAATCTTTAGTACCGTACCAGCTGTACCGTACCATGTAAATACACCACAAAGGAATGAGTCACTATCTGGGCTACTTTCCACCCAAATTTTGTTCAGCTCTGCTTCTGCCAACTGACAGAAAGTTTTTTTAAGAAGATTCAGTGATTGAACTTCAGAGAATCATAATAACATGTAGTTCTCCATGTTGGAGATGGGAACTTCCCACAAAATCAGGACCAAAGCAGCCCATAAAAAAATATACAAAAAGTCACTTAATAGGAAACTGGGCTTATAGTGCTCTAAGTCCTAAATCCTGTAGGAAAGTCATCTAACTTTCATTAAACCTGTCTGGGCCCTTCTATTCCTTTTGCTGTCATTGCAAATCGCCCTACACACAAGACGTATTGCATGGGATGTGAACAAGACAAAGCTTGTGAAGCAACACAGATTTTTAATTTCTTAAGCTCTACTTTCTCCAGGCCATTGCCTTTATACAGCTGCAATGTTGTGCATTTAAAAAAAAAAAAATTTTGATTTTTTTGTTTCCTGTCTCCTCAGCACAGAAAATTAGTATTTTTAGCCAAAGTTTGTCAAATCCATGGTCTCTTGTGTGGAGTTCTAGTCACTGCCTGGTTTTCTTTTGAAGCTTGCTTTCAGTTATGATTTTTACAACATTCTGTATATGTAAATGACTTTGTTTATATGTGTGGTTTTTCAGTAGGTACAAGAGTTTCTTGCAAAAATTTTTCCTTCGAAAATCTTTTATACAAAGACTTTCTCCCCCTGGACTATGAAGTTATTAAAGAAATCCTGTCTGAACAAATCTTCCACACAGAGTGTATACAAACTGCAGTCCTGTGTGGCTTTTTTATGTATTTCAACATTTCCCCTAGGAGAATGTTTTTCTCTCTATGTAACTGCTGCTGTGTCTGAACTCGCTGGTGGAGATTTTCTTCAGTGATGAAGCTTTCTTCAGATTTTTGTCATAGACATTGTTTACTTTAGCTTTTCCTTGAGCACAAGGCTTTTCCTTTCTGAATTGCATCTTACAGTTGCTGTTCCTCTGACAATGCTTTGGTGTGTTTTCAGATCTCTGCTCTGTGCTTCCATCACCAGCCTCAGCCAAGACATATACACATAAGACATATATTGTATATATCTTATATAAGATATAAAATACATATGCTGTGAAGATGAAAGTAACTGACTTTTTTTAACAAATTCCTCTGTTTCATGCTGAAGTGTAATTCCCTGGGCAGCAAAATGAAGATGTACAGACTCTTCGGCGTGTAAGAAAAGGTGAACTTTGGGGAATTACAGCAGAGAATGAGCTAATGCGTATTTCAGTTATTGTCATATCATTCTGGGAAACAGAGCTGGACGTTACTGGAAAATTGGGGAGTGCTATTTCTTATAATGAAGGGAAGGGGTGCATTCCTGGATGCCTGCAATCTGCTCTGGCAATCTGAAGGCCATTATCAGGTAGTTACTCATCAAAATATCAATCATCAAAACATTAATATCATTTACAGCAGTGGCTATACATGCATGCATAGGTGTCTATACTCTCATCTAAAAAAGAATTAAGGAGAAAAATTACCTGTATCATTAGCAAGCATTTCATAGGATTCCCGTGTTTTGTTAAAGAAATTCGGTATTTTACTGAACACTGTAGAGTTCCTGATACACTTTTGTCTTAGATTGCCCTTGAAAAGCTGGAGGCCTATGAGGGCAAAGACACTCAAGCAGAAAACAGTTAGGATCATCACATTGGCAAGTTTCTTAACAGACTGGATAAGTGCCCCTACAATGATCTTGAGTCCTAGGAAAACAATATACAAAAGAAAAACAGGATGAAAAACTGAGATTCATATGTCATACTTGATTAGAGTTAAAACAAGGTGTAACAACCAAAGTACCAAAATTACTGGATAATATGTGACAAATATATTTGCAATGTAAGTATAGTTTGGATGAAAGAGTGTTTAATATGAGAAAAATATTTTTTTTCCTCATTTGATTGACCCTACAATTTCTAGATGTTCCTTTACTCTCTGTAAAATATTTAGGCAAGGATGAGAGGCCAGAGATAGTCTAGTTTTTCTTATCCAGAAAGAGTAATATGCATAATTCAAATGAAATTTCCAACACTGGTAATCTGTGAAGCAACTGCAAACACTGGAAACAGTAATGAATATGATCAAAAAGACCAGAAAGAGAAGACAGAGGCAACTCACTGGTTCTTAATTTGTATTTCATCATGAGAAAGAATCCACTGGCTTTAAAACTAAGGGAAAAGTGAAAAGGAAACTGTTTTCCCAGGGATGATGTAAGATGATTAATAATAAAGTCTGTTCAGTCAACAGCGGTGTTTCTGTTGAACACATAGACCAGCTAGAAGAACATTCTGTAAAACTGACATTATAAAGTGTTAACAAAATCTTTAAATGCATAATGAAAATAAATTAAATACAAAATTGTTTCTAATGCTTGATTTATTCTGGCTGGGCCAGGTGACTGAGACACTGTGTCCACAAATTCAGCTGTGTCTGCAATCAATGAAAGATATAGGAAAAAAAAAGGAAAGGCAAAAGCCAACATTTTATTGGAGAAGAGAATGAGTAGTAAGTAGCAGAAAATATTCAGCAAAAAGGATATCTTACCTGGGACTAATGAAATGGTTTTTAAAGCTCTCAGAACCCTGAAAGTCCGAAGGACAGACACGCTCCCCAAGTTACTAAATGCTCCCACGTAGCTGTAAAGTCAGGATATGATATGTCAAGTGGTTGAATGGAGTAAACAGGGCAATTATTTTACAGTGGTCATTCTTAACTGTCAATCCTTCTGAGCATATTTCAAGTATTAATAAATTACAGATCAAGGACTTGTCTGAAGACATATGAAATAGGAATACATTTCTTGATTATTAGAGTTTCATTATGAGGTAGCTCTTGGCTTGTGCACAGCCGCTTTTGTGTCAGCATCTTAAAATATCATGCATTAAAATTATAAACAAAGATAACACCCAAAATTACTCATTCAGGCTGAAATTCTGGCTGAACTGGTTTGAGGTCCCTTCTGTAGCTGCACCTAACCAATATAAAAGCTTTCTAATTGCTGCAAACTGAAGCTCGAACTATGACTTTGGGAAATAAAGAGCCCAAATTTAATGCACTGTCCTGGTGTTTATAAACATCGCTCAATTTCCAAACTCACACTCTCATTCACAGGATGAGTATGTCTGTATTTGACAGCCCAGCTATTACATTTCACTGGCTGAACTGCATCCATTCACGTACGATCATCACAGAGCGTGTCTTGCTCTGCACTGCTCTATTCCCTTCTTGAAAGACTAATACGTTGCTCTTACACAGTGAGCAATAAAACAAGGGGAAGAGTCAAAGTCCTAGATAGTTTCAGATGCAATTAGGACCCACAGGGGTGTTTTCGTACTGCAGACAGCCTTTTGCACCACAGCAACAAGAACTTCAAATACAAAGCGCAACTGCAAGTAATCCATATTTTATATGTTCCCACTTACGCCATAACGATAACACTGAAATCCAACCAGTTCCAGGGATCTCGAAGCAGAGTGAATTCATTTAGACAGAATCCTCTTGCCAATATTTTTATCAATGATTCAAAAGTGTAAATGCCAGTGAAAGTAAATCTAAGGAAGGGAGAAAAGTGCCAAAGGAAAACAGCAATATTAGCAATTAACACGAAAGACACAGTCGGACTACTTACTGTCTAGGCCGACAAACCAAGCCAATGCTGCAGAGGAGTAACAGAAAGACTGCTGTTGATTACAGTGTATTCTATCAGTATCTGCCTCATATGGAGTTTGAGACAGTAGTTGACTGCAATCTGGACGTGGATATTAACGTGCATGCCTGTGACATGGGTTTTGGCACTCAACAATTTTTTTTCAAACTCTTTCATGTGAATCCCCAACAAAATTCCTAGCTACTTGCTTAAATAAAGATCAAAATTTGTATCTTCCTCTGGTTTCAAGTAGCCAAGTGAAAGTGTGATACGCTGTAAATTATTTACCTTGGGCACACAGCATCCATTTCTGTGCAGAATGTTTGAAACACTTAGAGAAATACAAGAGTACAGGTTTTTCAATTTAAGATGGCAATTATTCTTATTAATGGAAAATTATCAGTAAAAGCTCTTCTGGACTTACTGAGTGCACTTATCATTTCAACAAGGCAGCAGTCTCCCTACAGAATTCAAAAGGCATTCATTTGGTAGTCAGCAAATGCACTAAGAAATTACATGGCTGTAGTGCTTCCCTCTTCATTTGGAAAGAAGTATTCTGAAATTATTACTGAAATGCATTTGAATGGTAGTCTTGATGCCAACAGCAGATACAACTCTTATCTAACCTTTAGTGCTCTCATAGGTAGAGAAGTATCTCAGCATCTTCTGGAGATATGTATATTAATACCATGCAGAGTCTTGTTCCCGTTTGCATGAGGATTTGCCATTCCCAACTGTTTCTGTGTCATGTAACATAAGATAGCCAGAAACAATTGTAGACTTGTTTTTAAAACTAAGTATTTTGGAATCTTTTGCTTTGCATTAGGTGTTAGAATTATCAGGGTTCATATTCTAACATTTTTATGCCAAACTGAAAAAGTGAGAGCTGAAATATTCTTTTAAAAAAAATAAAAACATGGGATTATCCAGCTTAAGTGTGACTACAAAGGCATGGATTTATTGTGATTTAACATTGCAAGTGTTAACAGTCAGCAAGCAATGAAGATAAGAGCTTTACTTTCTAACAGTGTCCTGGAGGCCAGGAGCTTCTGACAGAACATTTTATTAGAGCGAAACTCAGCATTTCAATATTATTAAAAGGAATTTTAAAAGACAGGAGCTCTTGATGCGCTTCATCAGCGTCAGCAACAATGGGAAATGTGTCTGGATAAAAAGCAAATAATTACTGAGAAACTTCAGAAAGTGGGATAACAAACTGGAGCAGTAGGACAGACATGAAGCTAGTTCAACAGCGGAACTTAATCTACACTTAACTCTCTCCTATAACACCACAATTATTGTAGATATTGAGTTTAAAGACAAAAATACTCCCTCCAAGCAAAAAAAAGACAAAGTCCTAACTCAAGCAACTTTCCTTCTAAATCTCCATAAACTATCTTGAGTAAAAGCGGCAAGATAAGTCTCAATAATTCAATATAACTACAGAATTAAAAAACATACGTACCCACAGATACTTACTCAACATACTTGATCCATGAAGGAGATGGAGAAGTCTTAGAGGACTCAGTCCGAGCCATGAATACACAATTAGTTATAATAGTGCACATGATAAACCAAGTGAATAACGTAAGTCACGGGAGTGAAGGCAAAGAATATGACATTGATTCAGAAATGTAACTAGATATTCTATCAGTCATAGACGTCATATCTGGTTTTGAGTTTAAAACACACGTAAGGACAGCATGCACATGTATTTGCTGATTTTGAGCCATACTAGATGACAACACACTACCGTTGTTATTCATGCCATCTGGGCTTCTGTATGGGCTAGAGATCTGCTGCTCTAAGCATTGCAAACTTGGTAAAAGGATCCTCGAGCACTCAAAGAGTGGGAGGAAGGATGCATTTTTAGTTTCATTTTATAGCGTAAAAGCTAAAAACTTACCCAAGGTCACACCAGTGAAGCCCAAATCTGACTCTAAATTGGCAGAGCTGCACTTTTCTGAAGGGACAGTGTGAAGTCTGCCAGGATATTTGCAGGTATCTCGAAGGACTCTAGATGCCCATGTTTAGCCAACCCTTGGGGCTACTTGGTGGCTCTCTGGGACCTGCTGACTATAGGGTATGAACAGGAACTTGGCCATCTAGCTCACGTGTAGACACCTCAGCTTAAGCGCCTGGCTCTGGAGCTCAGTCTCATGTTTTGTGTCATACCACACATTTTGGCAATCCAGGAGGTAGATGTGCATGGGAAAGATATCTAGCCTTTCCATCATCTATCCTCTCCATCCCCACAAAAAAAAACAAACCAAACCAAACCAAACCAAAACAAAAAAACCCAACAACCAACTTCTGGCTTTAGCTCTGGGCATGGTCAAACTGGACCACTAGTGTTGAAATGCCAGTATCAGCCAACTTGCTGCCAGGGGAAAGCCTCAAATGAGAGGCATCGCTCCTTCAGGGATGTCTGTACACTGCTACGATGACAGCATCAGACTCATTACAGCTAACGAAGCACCGCACAGCCAGGAGATGGCTGGGAACCTAGAGTGCACACCGGGATACCACAGACTCTGCACTGGGCTCGATTCTGCCCTCAGCAACAATGTTATTGCTCTGGTCTCAATCCTCAGTGCCAAGCTGAAACAATACACTAGTGATTCCCGTCCCCTAAATTTGATGTATGAGGTGGGATCTATATTGTCTTTATATTCCAAAGGCATTCCCTGCAACAGCATCCCTGGAAATTTTCATTTTTATATACCAAAGTTATATATTTTTAATCTGATTTCCTAAAAGAAACTAAGTTTGCATAATTTTTCTTTCTATGTGTTTTCATATGCATGGCTGCCTATCTCAGCCTTTTTTTCTTAAAATTGGCCAATGGTTGATCAGCTTTGGCACATGATTTGAATTTAATTCCTACAGTTTGGGTAAGCAGAAGATGAGAAAGAGCATAGAGACCTTATTAGTCTTCTCACAGAGATGGTATTTGTTTATGAGACATCAGCAAATCAACATCAGACATCATTCTCAAAACACAAATCTGTAGAAAATCAAGCTTCAATACCCCCAGTACTCACAAAACTATTTATTTCTTAAGTAGCAAAACAGCACCAAGGCAATAATAATTTCTAAGGTAATTCATAATTAGAAGTAATCTGGAGTGAGGAAAAATCTAGATTCAATCAATGCTCTAAAATACAAAAGCACAGGATTATGTAGGGTTTCATAATCAAAAGAGTGAATGAAGCCAACAAAAGGATATGAATGCACTAAAATTTTAATTGCTGTTCTTCGGATTGGATGGAAAGGACTGAGGATCCATAAGGCACGTGTAGCCGTAAATCTGAAGATTATTTTCTGTTTGTTTAGCACTATGAAAATCTTTTAAAAAAATAAACATGAAATAAAGTTTTCAGAAAGTTGAACACAGAACATATTTTTTACTACAGCCTGTTGTATCAGTGATGAGCAAGAGCTTGATTTTAACTTTAGACTGTTTGTTTAAATGGGAAGACTCTTTGTAAATACTTTGCTATCCTTTCATCATAAACTGATGAAAGACTTAATACCCATTAACTGTGAAACTGAAAAAAAAAATCCTCAGCATGAACTTCTTTTTTAAACCCTAGCACTTGCGAAGAGTTGTGCACAGAGCTAATCTTGCATATGGCTATTCTCTTAAAATACATTGAACATCTCATTGAGTCAAGATATACAGAGGTGGAAGGAAGAATCACAGCCTTTATCATTATTTGCTGTTGTTGATAGTGATCCTCTAGCTCTAAGGCTGTAGAAATTAGTTCAAAGTATTAACCATTTCTCAAGCAATAAGCATAATTTCCAATGGATTAGTTCCCATTTCTCTGTTCTTTATTGAAAACCATATTCTTCAATACTTCATGACTAGAATATGGAGCTTGAATAAGTAGGTTTTAAGGATTCATCAGCAAATGTTTTAAAATCATTTTTATACTTAGATGATCATTTATCATACATCTAAGTGAAACATAAGCATTGAGATAGAGGAACACATTGTTTCAAACCATAGAATTTAAGAAAATTTACAAAGTTATCATTTCTTGTAGATCTGACTCAAACCCCTCTTTTCTTCCTTTATCCATTTTATTTTTTTCTGCTTCCATTCTGACTCAAATGTTAATCAAGTTCATATTATTTAATTCCTGTAATTCAAAATTAAGCTTTTTTTAAGAAGATTACAGCATGTCATTCAGGTATGCCAACTGTCTGCATTGTTCTAATCTAGAAAGGGATGATAATTTTTCCAAAGGGATGTAAGCAAAACTGTTTGATAGATCATCCACATAAACACTTCACAGCAGCACAATAAAACAAATTAAAATCCAAGCATCTTGGTTGGCTCTAACCTTACGATCTTTGTAGTATGGGTCGAGATCCTCCAGTGGTTCCCCAATAAGCTCTGGAGGAGGATTTCCATAGAGAGCTGGTAACTTCTGGAAAGCTTTTAGGTCAAGCTGAGGACGTGGTTTCTCCTTAGGTTTCTGGTCTGTAGTATTTCTTTGACAATTCCTCTTGGCAGCAATTCTCTTTTCGATAGCAGCCAAAGATTCATAAGTGAACTTACGGAAGTTGTTGGTACCAGGTAGTAAGAACTCGGCCATTTTTCATTCTTCTCTTCCTGTCACTAATTCTGTCCAAATAATAGAAACAAGTAGAAAGGAAGTCAAGTAACTCCAAAACAGGTAAATTATGAAAATTAAACAACTGCTTGCCCATGCATGGCTAATAACATAAACTTCCGAGCCATCAGCTTCTAAAAAGAAAAAAAAAAAAGATATGATCAATACCTTTTTCAATGAGATGTCTGTTCAGTATTTTTTTTCAATTATGTGTATCTGATGATAGGATGTGGGCAGACCTCTATAAAGTTAAGAGTGTATTTAGAGCACCTCATTTAAGATACCTGTTATCCCAAATGCTCCTGAGCTGTTGTTCAGAAAAAAAAACTAAGGTATTGGTTTAACTCCGTATTTGGAAATGGAACAGTAAAACCAAATATGTGGAAGCTGTGTCTGCAACAGAAAGACCAAGTGTTAAATTAACTAGTGCAGATGTAAATAGATGGACAACCCATCCTGGTGGTGTCAGCACAGGAACGAGCAGTGTCCAAGCGTCAGAAGATTTAACTCACGATCTATAGAGTCACTACTGACTGACATGGTGGACAGAAATGCTCGATCTGAGAAGTATCAAGCAGAAAGCTTATATTTTAGGCCCACTTGTCAGAACAACAAAAGTGAGATTGTACTAGAAAAATACTTTGCATTATTTAATGGAGAATTTTGGTCGGGTATTGGATAGGATCCGTTCAACTAGATGCTACCTGAGTGCATACTTTGGCAGGATAGTGAATCCAACCTTCTACCGTAACACTGTGAAAAGCTTCAAAGCAAGCTCATGAAGTGCACATATATTGATAGTGAAAAAACTGAAAACAGTACAAAGAGTAAGATGATCCAGACCTGCATTCTTGTGCTAAACTCACCCCAAAGCTCTATAAGGAGATTCCTCTAAAATATTTTCTTTGATTACAACCTCTAGGAAGACACTTGGTTCAGTACAGAGTCACAGAGCTACTGAGCCAGCGCAGTCCCATCTGCAGGCTGTGAAATGATCCCATCTGGTCGAGGGCTTCGTGCAGGATGTATCATTGCTGAGTCTGCATGGAAGAAGATCACATTAGAGGCACACAGCCAGGTCTTTCCATCCAGAAGCTGCTGCCACCACCACTTCAATGTGCCCTTCAAAGTTGACTCCGTCACTAGCAGCCAGAGCTTCATCTTGGAAAGTTTAAGCTGTCCTCGCTGGACAACTGCCAGATGACCTGCTCTTGCACCTTTCCTTTCCAGGCACTATATGCAACATCCCAGGAAAACACAAAATCTGAATCAAGAGGCTTTGTTCTACTGGAAATAATTTTACCATCTGTGCGCTGACTCCCTGTATCTTCCCCTTCCATGCAACGCCATTTCATTTTGCCCCAGATACAGCGTGATTTCAGTTGTCCTCACATTGCTGAGCTATAGAAAACCATTGCTGTGAGAACAACAGCTGGAGGCCAGTGACAAACTAACTGCAGTGAAAGCTTTTCATTTTTGCAGTCTGCCTGCCTCTCCCATTAAATAAGCAGACAACATTATAAATAGGAAAAGTATCCCTTGCTTCCAGCACAAAATAGCAACATTTCTGGAAGAGAAATAGGACATTCAGGCAAGAATACTCATTAAATTACGTTTTTCAAGATCAAGCTAACAGTCTGGAAGCTGTGTGTAGTACTATACCAAAAATGAAGAACTTAACATCCACTCTCAATTTTTCAAGTCTTCAGCTAGCCAAAGTGGTGTTTGTTTTGTTGATGCTCAGAGTAATTTAGATGTTGTGGTATCAGTAATGAGAGCTCTGAATGATGCATGAAATGACACAATTTCTGTGCAATGCACGGAGGGAATACAATAATTACTTTATCCTGCTTTGTGCCAAATCATCCAAACATACCCATCCCTCTACACAGCGCTTCCATAAAAGTCTACCTGATCTCAAAAGTTCACTATAAAATTCTGGGTTTGCTGCAGATTTCTTCGCAGTTTTCTCTCCTCTCTTCCATGAAACCATCTTTCAAATCCCAGAAAAGAAACTTTGATTGTCACACTGTTCTCCCTCAAGACTATTAGAAGGCAAAGCAAAATCCAGGAGGACAAGATGTTGCTGGCTAGAGCCAAGGATGGGGAAATAGAAGGAAGCATGAAGGCACGTAGAGTCTGCAGGTCCTTGGCCAGAGCTGGACACCAGGCAGGGGAGTCTTTCCTGGTGGTTTTATAAATTTTTCCACAGGTGAACGAACATTAAGGAAAGGAATTAAAGCCTTGTGCTTGCTGTCTCACCTGTCAGTAGCAAAATTTCCATTGATGGCAGCTGCAAGCCATGGAGTAGAAGGCTAAACTACACTTTTCATTCATGGGCAATTCTGAGCTACTCAGCCTAGTCCTGAATAAAAACTATTGATTAGTAAAAATGGAGTAATCTGGAAAAAATGTTCCTGATACATTCAAGCATCTTTAAAAATATCCCCAAAATAATTTCTGTTACTTATAGTCTCAGGGAGGATAACATAAAAAGTACAGCTGAGATGTATTTAGGTTTTTATCTGACCAGGGCTAGACTTAGCAATTTGACCAAAAGAAGTAAAAAGTACTAATGCAAAACCATTTTTGCCCTTGATGTCACAGAAGCAACAAAGTGCCATTTTGGCCTTTTCTCAAGACTTGAAATACCTACAAAATAGTGTGACATTTAGTATCTCTCTAAAATGAAAAGTTTTCTTATCCTTTGACTGAGTGAAGACCAGAGAATGCTGAATGAAATCAACATGACTGAATAATAATAATAATAATAATAAAACCAAAAAAAGGTATTTATGATTTGTTCTTTTATCTGTCAAATGTATTTTCTATGAATTATTTCTCAAATACCAAAAGTGTAGCTAGATAGCTTTCCAAAGTAAGCCTTCTTTCTTCCAAATGTGTTTTCCTCTGTAGGAATATTCGTTGTGACAGACTAGGAAACAAGGTTATTGTCAAAGATGTTTTCTCTCCTTTTCATGCTATTACAATCACCCCAGTTCAATCCTCAGTTAATGAATAAATGTTGTCCTCAATTACTTGATTTCTTGGCTTCATGATCTATTATGGAAAGAGGTGAAAACATGTTGACAATGACTGTGATCAGCATGACCAAGGTAATTAGTTTGATCAGAGTGGCCAGGATTACCTTCTTAGATTTTTTTTTCTTTGTCTTGGATGACTGAAATTCTTGTCTGTTAAAACTATTCCTCCGCTTTAAAAAAGCTTTCATAACATGCACAGAAATTCTCTCTTAAGTAACTGGAATAACAGTTGTTTGAAGACTGTATGTGAAAAGCCTTGTCCTATTGGAACAACTGAAATGTTATTATTGCCTTCAGCATAGCTGATTTTTGTACACTTTTGCATCTTATTCAGTGATAATATCCAATGCCTGGAAAAGCAAAGTTAGGGACTCTGGACTGATCCAGCTCTTTGTATTGCCAGTAATTATTTCAGGAGCCAAGAACATCAGTACGGACCTTGGAAAGACATGCTAACTGCACCACCCAAAGTTACTATGATAGACTTGGGCTGTGTTGCATCTTTCTACGTTTGAATTTCCAGCAGATAAGACAAATAGAACTGAATAACGAAAGATTTAGTTAACAGCAGTTCAAAGCTTCTGTAGAGCAGTTATATTCTTTCCTCAGAAACTTTTCTATATTTTGAGGCAAATGATTTAATGACACTTTCTTAATGATCTTTAAAACATGTATGAAAATAACTTCTGTAGGGTTTTTTTTATCATAGAATAATTCTGGTTGGAAGGGAACTCTGGAGGTCTATAGTTTAACCTACTCCTCAAAACGGGTCAGCCATGAGGTCAGGGTTTTATCCAGGCAAATCTCCAAGGACAGAGACTGCACAATCTCTCTGAGCAGTCTGTTCCACTACGTGACTCTCTCAATCCATTTGGACCCCTTGTTGTTCCAATTTATGCCCCTTGCCTCTTGTCTTCCCCCCATGCACCACTGGAATAATAAAAAAAAAAATAAAATATTGCATTAATTTGAAAGGTAAAAGGCAATGCCCCCTAATGCCTCTATATAAGGAAAACAAATATGCCTACTTCAGCCCATGTAGTCTACCTATTTATAGCAGCCTACAAGAAACATCTCACAGGTCTGAATAACACCATCCAGTGTAGCTCCATTGAGATTGCCAAGGGAGACAATAATCAGCATATTTGCTCATTAGTTTCCCGCCTTTGGAACATCACACCTTACCTGAACTGAGCTGTGGTACCAACCTTTGATTATTCCAGATTCAACCCCCAAATTCATTTACCTTCTCTAGACAACCTGGCTGAGAGCTGCAGTCCTCTGGGTCTCCTAGCATGGCATCTGCATGAAAGGAGATGGCAACAGCTGATCTAGCTACCCTATACCCTCTTTGCGATCAATAAAACTGAGGACACAGAGCAGCTAATGATAAGTAAACATATAGATTAAGAAACATGAAGACTGCTGAAAAATGCAACTGATTTTTTTCATTGCCTATAAAAGAAAATTTAGCATGAGGTAAATCCCATTCCTTCAATCTGGTATTTACAGTTTACAGTTCCCAGCACTGGGGAAGAAAGGTAGCAAACAGTGTGGAGATTCACAAAAGAAAGACCTGATAAAGCCTCCTCGCATTCGTCCAGAAAGCCCCTTTGGGTGGGATTCATCTCACCTCACTGCAGACATCTCAGAGTTAGACAGCTACATCTCCACTAGCTCTCCAACTGCCTGCTGAGACACCTTTTCACATTTCTTTCAGGATGAAATGAATCACATCTCAGAGTGCCAGTTGACTACAATTGATGACCTGAGATGTCTCAAGTGAGATGAGATAAATTCAACTCGTTGCATCCATTAGGCCTACTCTTCTTGCTGCCTCAACTAATGGACAACTGCTAAACTTCCAAAGATTAGTAACTCCACGGTCAGTGGTAGGACTGGGCAAACATCATTAGTCACCAGCAGACTGTGAATACA